CCTTCCTTCCTTCCTTCCTTCCTTCCTTCCTTCCTTCCTTCCTTCCTCTTAATTGCCACTCCAAACATTGGAATCTGAATGGCATGTTGTCCACATAGTTGGCAAACCAAAGAAACAAAGAAATCACTCGGATTTCACAAAGGCCTCTTGGATGCTAGTCTACTAGATACTAATCTTGAAAACTGCAAGACTACATTCCCAGCCAGACTTACTGTGAGTTCCCTAATGTGGAATCTTTTTAAAGCACTTTCTTTCCAGAGCTTTTATAACTGGATTGTGTTGCCTCTTCTCCTATGGACTAAACCTCTTGCTCCTTGGTTTCCTTCACACAGTCTCACACACCTAAACTCCCAATATAATATTTGGATTAAAACAGTAAACATGACATAGATATTGCTGCTAGCAATCAGTCACAAAGAACATTCCTTCCTGCTTTCCAAAACTTGATAGGATACAGAAGTTCAGCTTTTGTAACAACAGTGCTGCGCTACTGTAGAGATGGCAGTAGCCCTCTGAGAAAGGCGCTAACAAATACACATTCTTTATTTGCAAAAACTACCCAAAAGTTTTAACCTTTTGGTTTTTTTCTCCACAATTTGCTTTAAGGAACCAAATAAAGATAATGTTCCTGCTTTCCTTGTGTTTGCCCTGTTTTATGTTGCTCCTCCCATGAGGACTGTGTAATACACATTAACTACACTCCTGTTCACTAGAAATGTGATTTAATTGTTTCTAAAAAATTTATTGCAGTCGCAAATACACTCCTATGTTTTTCTTCAGCCACAAGGAACTGCATGAAAATTCAATTTGAAAAGATAAAAGCTTTATTTCCAATAACGATAAGGCTATCATAAAAATGTTGCAACAGTAGCTTGATGAAGTCAACTCAGATCTCCCAATTTAGAATCTTGATTTATTCACCCTTCATAGTCTAAACTATAAACAAGAAATGCGCACAATAGGAAATATCAGAGGCGTGTGTCTCCTCCAGGCTAGATTCTAGCTGAATATGCTTACCAGATGCATACAGACAGAGGCTATTCACACTAATAAAAGGAAGAAATCCTGCAGTAAAATTCTACTTTGTAGTCCAATACAACTAGTCCTCAACTTACGACCACTATTGAACCCAATTTTTTTGGTGCTGAGAGAAACAGTTGTTAAGTGAGTTTTGCCCCATTGTACACCCTTTCTTACCACATTTGTTAAGTGAACCACTGCAGTTGTTAAGTTAACAAACACAGTTGTTAAGTGAATCTGGTTTCCTCATTGACTTTCCTTATCAGAAGATTGCAAAAGTTGATCATGTGATCCTGGGACATTGCAACGGTCATAAATATGAGTCAGTTGCCAAACATCTGAATTTTGATGATGTGATCCTAGGGATGCTGCAGTGATTGTAAGTGTGAAAAAGGATCATAAGGCATTTGTTTCATTGCTGTTGTAACTTCGAACGATCACTAAATGAATTGTTGTAATTTGAGGACTACCTGTATTTCATTATTATTTTTGTCTAGATTAGTAGATTCTATATCACAGATTTGCAAGTTTCCAAAGCAATTTGTCAGGTGCCTTAGGATGCAATATGTGTATGTGGATGTATGTGTGTGTGTGTGTACTGACACCCATATACACACATAACATACATTCCCTTAGGCATACAGAGTTTTTCTTATGATATTACTGGTACCATTTATATCCCTAAGCCTTCAAGAGCAGTGACATTTTGTAGTCTCGTTAAAAGTTTTCTCACATACATGTTTTTCACTGTGTTCTTTCCCTATTGTCCTAAAGTACCTGTGAAAAGCAAAACAACCCTCTAACGTTTAACTTAAGGTTCGCTTTATAATTGTTCTGCAAATGCTACGTTAAATACCTTTTTAAATACCTTTTTCAATCACTCAAGTGTTAGAATTCTCCTTTGCTCCCTTCTGGGCTTCAGTCAGACATAATTTATGTGGCAAACTCATTTCGATGGAATAATTTTCCTTCCAAATAGCACAAATTGCTCCATGTTTTCAGTACATTGTGATGCCAAGCACAGGATGTTTTAAAACAGCACTGTCAAGCCTTGATGCACTGCTTATCTGCGCTTTATTTGCTTTGGAATCAAAGGGAGGGGAAAAAAAGAAGCTGCCAAATGTAATTATTTTTGGTGTGGGAGTGGAGGAGAGAAGTGTGCCAAATATATTTTGGAAAACCTACTTCCAAATACATTGAAGAAGCTCTTTTAGATTGTCAGGATTATGAATGAGATGAGCGGTTGGAGAATGGAAAGCAGAGAATTATCTGGTATCAAAACTACCCCAACTAGTTGCAAATCTACCTGAAATATCAAAATTAAAATGTGCAATACATTATCCATTATTTCAGTAGGTTAAACATTTCAAAAAGATCTCACCTATTAGTAAATCTTACTCTGCCCCAAATGAATACATACATTTAAAACAGAAGTAATATTGAGGATCGAGGATAATTTTTATAGCAATAACATGAGGCAGGTGTGGCGAGGGATTCAACAAATTACAAACCATCAACCGACCAATGTCATCCCTGGTGTGGGGGATGCTTCATTGGCTGAGGAACTGAATCATTTCTTTGCTCACTTTGAAGTGGAGACATCAGAGACAGATAAAATACAACAAGCCAATTGTAGCCCCCACCTCATTGTGGAGGAACAGGAGGTGAGGAGCATTCTGAGGGCTGTGGACCCTAGAAAGGCTGCCGGTCCTGACAGTATCTTTGGTATCTCTGGCTGCTTAAAGACTGTGCTGATCGGTTGGCTGGAGTCTTTACCAGGATCTTCAATCGGTCTTTATCCCAGTCCACTATTCCATCTTGTTTGAAGGCTTCCACCATTGTTCCGCTGCCAAAGAAGTTCCCTGTCAATAACGTCAACGATTACAGACCAGTGGCACTCACTCCTATCATCATGAAGTGCTTTGAGAAATTGGTCTGCCAGCACATCATTTCTGGTCTTCCGCAAACATTTGATAAACACCAATTTGCATACAGAAGAAATAGATCTACAGAGGACGCTATAGCCATCACTCTTCACACTGCTCTGACTCATCTAGAACAGCGGGTAGGCTATGTGAGGATGCTTTTTATAGCTTTTAGTTCTGCATTTAACACAATTCTTCCACATAGACTAGTGTCTAAATTTTGGGACCTTGGCCTTTCTTATTCAATCTGCCTTTGGATTATGGATTTCCAGTCTGGCCACTCACAGAGGGTCAGATTAGATAATCATACCTCTTCAGGCCTTATTCTTAACACTGGTGCACCACAGGGTTGCATGTTGAGTCTCTTACTCTATACTCTTTATGTGTATGACTGCATTCCCACCCATGCTAGTAATACTATTGCTAAATTTGCAGATGATACAACAGTGGTGGGACTCATCTCCAGTGGGGGATGAGTCTGCCTACTGAGATGAGGTGGACCAGTTGCTTTCGTGGTGTGGAGACAATAACTTGGTCCTCAACACCAATAAGACCAAGGATCTTATAGTGGATTATATAGAAGGAACAGATCAGACATCCAGTCCTTGCTTATCAATGGAGACCAAGTGGAGCAAGTGGCCAGTTTTAAGTTTCTAGGTGTTACCATAAAAGAGGACCTGACCTGGGGTGCCCACATTGCAGCACTGGTCAAAAGGGCCCAGCAGAGATTATACTACCTGAGACTTCTCAGAAAACAACAACTGAATGGAAAACTGCTGCTGACCTTCTACTGCTGCACCATAGAGAGTATGGTTTGCCAATTGCACAGTGGCAGATAGGAAAGTACTCCAGAGGGTTAACCTCATTGCCCAGAAGATCATAGGTTGCCCTCTCCCCTCTTTGGAAGAGCTTTATAGCTCCCGCTGCCTTAAGAAAGTTCAAAACATTCTCAAAGATCCATCTCATCTTGGGAACCCTTTTTTTGAACTATTACCATCTGGCAGACGGTACAGAATAATAAAAACAAAGACAAATAGGCTGAAAAACAGCTTCTATCCCAGGGCAGTAGCTCATTTGAATTCTGCTGTATAGTGCAGTATTGGTGCGGTGTCAGGGGGTTTCAGTTCAATGTGTGGAGGGTGAAGGATGTGCGTGTGTGTTTATTTCATGGTCATGATGTGCACTGAAGATGGTGTTTGATTTTGTTGTACGAGGTGCAATGACAATAAAGTAAACTAAACTAATATTTGATGGAAGCTTATTAGAATGTGTTCATTTTTAGCCTATATTTATAATTTTGAACTGGAATACCAACACCCAATCAGCATCCTGCCTCTGGCCTGATCTTTGTACAGCTTGACGTAACTATACTATGTATGCTAAACATTGCAAAGCTATTTTTATTTGATACCCAAGAAGATATAGGTAGTCTTTGACTTATGACCACAGTGGAGCCTGGAATTTTGATCATAAAACATTGTGATCTTACGTCAAGGCATCATTTGACCAGACTTGATTTTACAACCATTTTTACAGAAAGTCATTAAGCAAATCACATGGTTGTTAAGCAAATATCAGGCCCTAGCCCAAGACACTGGGAGCTTCACTTGGGTTCATGTATCAGGTACAAGAAGTTAGGAACCAGGACAGAACTTCAAGTTTATTTCATGCTACCTATAAACAAAAATCTGAACTAGTAATGGTCAAGGCAAATTGGTGTCAGATAGGAATCAACAGACTTCAAGGGCAGTTGGACATAGGTCTCTTACAGGGATATAGTGACTCCAAACAGATTCATGGGTTTGAGTCCCACCCTTGGGCTCTGCCTCGTCATCTCTGCACGTGAAGTTTTATTGATGTATTACTATAGCCTGTGTGCAAGAATCGTCTCACCCGACAATCAACACCAACTCCAACAGTTCAGTTATTTATTTGCTTACACTTTCATTTCATTTCATTTCATGTATGTGGCTGCCAAACTCCCAAATGTAATTTAGAGAGAATGTTATATGAGAAAAATGCTTCAATTATGTCTGAAGAATAAGGATTGGGATTAATACAGTTGTTTTGTTAAAATCTTCAGTCTGCTTCTCCAAGCAACCAGCTTCCAGCCCTAATATTAATAAATATGGAAAAGAAACATGAAGTGAACATTTTTCCTGAGATGGATAGAAATAAGTTTGAGAAGTCCCGTTCTTACTAGTATAGGTAGTCCTTGACTTACAACAGTTCATTCAGTGACCATTAGAAGTTACAACTTGTGACTGTTTTTCACACTTAACGCCCGTTGCGGCATCCCCATGGTCATGTGATTAAAATTCAGACACTTGGCATTTGACTCATATTTATGACAGCTGCAGTGTCCTGGGGTCATGTGATCGCTTTTTGTGACCTTTGACAAGCAGAGTCAATGGGGAAACCAGGTTCACTTAACAACCGTGTTACTAACTAAACAACTGCAGTGATTCACTTAACAAATGTGGCAGGAAAGGTTGTAAAATGGGGTAAAATTCACATAATGAATGTCTCAAATAGCAACAGAAATTTTGGGCACAATTGTGGTTATAAGTCAAGGACTACCTGTAACAAAAAGTGGGTTTTTTCTCCCAAAGGTAGACTTCAGTCTTAACTAGGCTGCTCATTCAGTCTTCTTGTTTTCAATAGGATCCTAAATGCTTCAAATCAGAGAAGACTGGGAGAGGCCTATTAAAAGAAGGTTGGAGAGAAACTCAAGACCCTATTATGTGCTCCTACAAACTTGTATCTGTGAAATTTGAAGTATGGGGACTTCAGACTCGAGTCGAGCAGTTTGTTCACAAGGTGAGTAAAGGGCAGTGTCTGCAGATTTTTCCCTCCTTTACCTATCTTGTACAGCTTTTATGTAGAGAAAATTGTGGCAAGCTGAAGGGTCAGCAATGAGCATTATACAAAAAGTTGATGTGATTATATTTATAAATGTTCACAATGACTTACTCTGACTTCTAGTCACTTTCTACTTACTTTGGTATCAGACTGCCTTGCTAACTCTAACGTTCCCTTGTGATCCTGTGATGTAGGCCTCATATCAGCCCATGATATAAACAATCCTGACAGTTTTTTGTACACCACAAATAAACCAAATAATTTTTCCTGTTTAATCCACTACTACAGGGCTATGGCATATACACTTCGTTCTGATTTCTCACAGTTCCAAGGGAAGTGCATCCCCATGACTAGTTTTGCTCAGTCATTGATTAATTCCTAAGGGAAGTATCAGGATTTTAGGAGAGGGAGAGAGAGACAGGAAATTCATGCCAATCATCCTCAAAATAGTTGCTCTACCACAATTCGTTTGTTAGTCAGCTAGGAAACAAGAAGACCCAGGGTACATATTGCTATCTTGCCAAGATATTGTAAAGCTACAGAAAGGGCTGAGGTTTCCTGGTGAGGAAAGTCTCTCTGATTATATGTTTACTCAGCGTCTTAATGTGTAAAACACCACCAAAACTGAAACAGAGTATGCATGACATCAGGATTGCAATAAATTGATTCAAGCGTTAAACACAACCACAAAGAATATCTACTAAAGGTTAACAATGCAAAAAAAGCAGGAAATCGTGTGTACGTTTATTCCAAAATATAGCATGCTTTAACCATAATGAGAGTGATTTCCATGAAAATCTGCATGCTTTATACCATGATGTTGCAAATCTCGGCTCGGTTGAGTTGCACCATAATAATTTCTGTATGAAAATAAATCCACTGAGATTTCATTGAGTGGTGTATAAGGGCAAGAAAGAGAGGAAGAAGAGTTAAGGATGGCAAAATTAGAAGCAACAACCAGAAGGCAAGGAATGATTGACTCAGAAAAAGAAACAATGGAACTATGAAACAATGCCAACAAAAAGAAGTTAGGGCAGGAGCCGAAGGGGAAAAATTAAGACTGAAATTAATTATGTCCTTCTGAAAGCTCATAACAAGAGAAGCAATTATCTGGTATGGCTTACTTTTCCAGAATTCAGAATTTCATGTCGTTCTGAAGGTACGGAATCAAAATAATTAAGATTTCTTTTAAAAAGGAAAGAGAAAATACTTCTAAAATGTCAAAGCAAATCATGACTCCTGTCCTGGAGATCACCTACAGCCTTTGTCTTCTCCATGAATTTACCTAATCCATTTTTAAGCCTGCCAAGTTGTTAGGCACCACCCACCCATTGAGTAGAGAATTGACAAATTAAGCTGGCCACATTTGAGTCATCGTCCTGTAATTAGAGAAAAATAAATTATCTTTGTCCATTTTCTCTGTACAACACACATTTTCATTGAATGCTATTTCCTTTTACGTATTTCTTAAAAACAATTAAGTTGTACAGTTGAAGTATTTATCGTCAAGGAAGTTGTGCCAGTTCTTTGGCTCTAATCCCATCAGATTAGCTTTATCCTATTGACAGAATACACAATTTATTAGAAAAAGCTTTCTTAGAGGCCTTATCAATTTACCAACCCTAATTTTCTTCCAAAATTGCATAATTAACACTTTCTCGGGTAGTTTCTGCTCACAAGCACCATGGCTGCTGATCCACCGCAGCACTTTTTAAAATTCTATTTTGACAGAAACCTGCATGAAGGTTTGAATGAACAACATGGAAATGAAACTAAGCAACATTTCTCTTCCCTTTGATGCTTTTGATGTGCATGAAAGAGAAAGATAAATCCTTCGCTATGTGTTTACTTGCTAATGTAATCTGCTTGTAATTTATGTCCTCAAATTCTGCACATTTTTTGGCTTATATTAGATTGAAGGTCTGAAACAGACAAAGAACAAAATGGAAAAGGAAATTCTGCAGAATATAAGAGGATATGGATGTTATTTTCAGGGAATGCAGGACTATTTCTGATGATTATTTGCATCTAACTGAAGTCCTAACATGGAGTCCAGATAAATCTATCCTGATGATAAACAGCTGTTCTGTGTTTCTCAAAGATAGTGAAATTCACTTTTTATAAATTATGCCCCAATTCTTGACTTGCTTTTTGGAGATGAGGTTGCCTAGAGTCTAAATGCCCCATTTTAATACCCTCCCCCAGGATTTAGAAGCAAAACTAAATATATCAGGAACCATGTTGCTTTGTTTTAAATAGAAATATTTAACACTAAGTAAAACATTGCACCCTATCTACTAAAAGATTATACCTTGGTATATAAGTACAAGTAGTTCTCGACTTACCACCACAATTGAGCCCAAAATTTCCACTGCTAAGCAAGACAGTTCTTAAGTGAATTTAGTCCCATTTTGCAACCTTCCTTGCCACTGTTGTTAAGTGAACCACTGAGCTTTTAAGTCAGTAATACAGTTGTTAAATGCATCTGGCTTCCACATTGATTTTGATTGTCAGAAGGTCACAAAAAGTGATTACATGACAGTACAGCCATCGTAAATACATGCCAGTTGCCAAGCGTCTGAATTTTGATCACGTAACCATGGAGAAGCTGCGAGAGCCCTAAATTACTTTTTTCAATTCCTTTGTAACTTCAAACTGTCATTAAGCAAATGGTTGTAAGTTGAGGACTACTTGGGATCCAGTAGATGAGAATGCAATGCATGCTGTTAGTTTATGAGCCATTCGTCAAAAGTTGCCTGCTGCAATGACCCTAGTTTTCTTCTACTCAACTGTACGAGGCAGGTACATGTTTTTCCATCTAGCTACTCAAAGATAATGTGCACTTCTTACTGCACAAACCTTGCTCACTTTACTACTACTACTTGCTATTGTTTTTTTCCTACCTTCCTCACTTCTCTTCCCCCTCTTCTTCCCCACCGTTCTCCTATTTACTTTTGTATTTTGTACCTTATTTTATCTTATAACTCAATAAAAATGTTAAACCAAAAGAATTATCATTCACCACAATGTCAGAAATGGGAAAGTAAGCTAATGGTAAGTCTGTTAAGGGGTGTTTAGTTCTAGCTGCAAAATCACTTGTTGGGATGGGAGAATTATCCAAGGCTTGCAGAAAAGATATTTTCCAGTAAGATGCCAGGAATATCGAGGCGAAATCAGCTATCAGTCCCTATGATCCCCCGTATCTTTTTGACACCTTCCTAACTTCTCATGGGAGCAAACAGTTGAATAGCAGAGACATACTATAATTGTCACACACACACACACACACACACCACCCCAAAAACCCCCAATAGAGTAGGGCTCTTGAGCTTCTGATAATTTGAAAATGCCAATTTTATAGAATTTTTCAACAGCTAAACAATGCAAAGAGTAAAATCGGGTGCTGCACTCTAATGGCTTCAGCTTGTTACCACCTTGTCCTCTGTGGCTCTTGAAGATGGAAAAGAAAAAAGAAAAACAATTGAAAAAGTGGGATCTAGGCTTCAAACAGCTTGTCCCTTGGTTCTAGTTGTGAGAATTCTCTTAGGCTGCCTACAATCTTCAGGAACTTGGGAGAGGAATGTTTTCCTGTTGCTGACCTTATTCAAGCAGAGCTGCTGTTGCTGCTGCTGTTCCTTCCCAGGATGGTAAGGAACAGAAAGGATAAAATATTTGTCAGAAGATTTAAGTGTGTGTGTGTGTGTGTGTGTGTGTGTGTGTGTGTGTGTTGGTGGGGGCATCAAAGGAGAGCACAAAAACCAAACTTAACCACCTGACTTGCACACTGTAAACAATGTGAACAACTGCTGGGAAGCCAGAGGCCATGAAGGAGAAATTGAAAATGGGATTCTCAGAAGCAGAGATAGAATTGTGCAACGAATGAACTCTGGCATAAAAACCACATTGGGACAGCTTACACAGTAAGCTCAAAAGGAACCCGCTGCTCCAACTTAAGTATATTGAATAACATTACAGGGAGTCCTTGACTTACGACCACAGTTGAGCCCAAAATTTATGTTACTGAGTGAGAAATTTGTTAAGTGAGTTTTGCTCCATTTTACTTTTTTTTTCTTGGCCACGTTTGTTACTGCAATCACTGCAATTGTTAAGTCACTAACGCCTTTGTTAACTTTCCTATTGACTTTACTGGTCATAAGGTCACAAAAGGGGATCACATGACCCGAGGACACTACAACCGTCATAAATATGAATCAGTTGTTAAGCATCCAAGTGTAAATCACATGACCACCGGGATGCTGCAAGGGTCATAAATGAGAAAAATGGTCATCAGCCGCTTTTTTAAGTGCCATTTTAACTTTGAACGGTCACTAAACAAACTGTTGTAAGTCTAGGACTACCTGTACTCTACTCTCTAGCCCTGAGTTTCATGGTTTTCTTTCTTCCTGAAGGATTCCAAAGACCATTCCTGAGGCTTTCAGAGACTTTTAAGTGATCCTGATACTCTCATGTTTTTTTTACCTCTACCACACACTATTCTTTCTGGCTCTTGTCCTCTCAAGTCTTTTTAAAATCTTTCTTAATTCTCCTAGGTGGTCAAAGACATATTGCTAATTGGTCACCGACAAGCATTTGCGTGGGTGGATGAGTGGTATGGTAAGTCATGTTTTTTAAAAATAGAACTATTTAGAAGCACAAGAACTATTTCAGACATGTACTGATTGGCCTGTTTATTTTTATTCAAGTTGTTTTTATTAGAATAGTTAAGATGGAGGAGAGCGTGTTCTATCTTTCAGACAAAAGGCTAAGAATTTTAGCATGTTTATACTTGTTTGTAGCTCTGGGTACAATCCTGCTGCAATGTTGGCTTCATAATTTTATCAAATGTGTACTTTAGTATCTGTAACTCTAAGTAACAAGCTTAATTTGAATTAAATTCTAAATCTATCTGGTTCAAATCTAACGTACCTGTTTTAAAGACTAGTACCAAACTTCACATTGTGATATTAAAAACATAGCTTGCCTTTCAGTACCAGCACCATGATGTAATGGCTAAGATGTGTCCTAGGAATAGTTTCAAATATGTCCCCAATCGTGGAAACTCAACACATAGATGAGTTTCAGCCAATCAGTCTCTCAACTAATCTATCTTAAGGCTAGGAAATTTTTGCGAGGATGAAATGAAGGGAGACAGTAATATGGGTGGCCTTGAGTGCTTAGAGTTATGGAGAAATAGAAACAATTAATTGTGTTAGGGATATCCTTGCCAAGCAACAATTCTGCAGAAGTTTCCACTTCTCCAAAATTGAGACAGGCAAACATTTCAAGTTTATGGCTTTCTTCCAAGCTCCAAACCATAATTCTGTATTGTTTCTCTCCTGGTTCATAATGTTCACTGCAGTGCTGAATAAGGGCTTCATGGATCAGAAGAATTGAGGATTATGAAATGGGTTGAAAAACTCGTTTAATAGAGCCAATTTAAATCTACTGATTTGTTGCGGTGGATGATATAAATATACATCGGTATAAATGCAATAAACCAATTAAATAAGTAAGCTGTAAACTCATATTGTAAAGAGATATCAACTATAAAAATTAGCATAATGATTAAATTGTAAACTTCAGTACAGTTAATATTATTTTATATTAGATAACTTTATTTTTTCTTTAATAAAACAAAAAAGTTATTCACTGTAATAAATATTTGAAATCAATCAAGTTCCTATTTGTTTAACTTAGGAAACGTGAAATAGGGAAAGGAGAGTGAAATTAGGCTGGACGTCAGGAAAGTTGAATTTTTGTTCCATTAAATGCACTGTGATCAATAATAAGACTTATTCAGATTTATAATTGAGCCTCCCAGCCAGCCTTTATTATCCAGACTTGAACCACTTTTCAAAGATTAAAATTTCATTTAGTTATAAAAGGATAAATCTTTAAAAGGAAATATCACTGGAGTTTGTTTCTCTCATGAGAATAGCTTTCCACTGTTTTATCATTTGACGTAAATGTCTTGTTGCAAAAGTTCCAAATGGTCTTTTGTTTTAGCTTTGAAGAAAAGTAGCAGGTTGCCCATTTCTTACAACTGAGTCCCCTGTGATGATGGTGCTAATAACTTTTTGGCAGGCCCCAAATTGTTACTGTAAATACATGAGAATCATGAGTGCTGCAATGGGTGTGAGGCCTTCTGGTGCACTTACATTTTCCTGACAACTCTGCATTTGGATTGTTATTGTTGAACAACAGCAGATGAATATATAGAATTAGAATATTTTACAACTTTGACCAATCTTCAATATTTCTTCAGCATGGGAAGCATATGTTTCTTAGAGGTATCAAATGAATTCCCTGGACTAATATAGAACTGTTCAGGTTCTAATTTATTTTAAAATATACATTTTGTTGATACAAGGGCTTCATCTTCTAATTGCAGACTAATCCTCAATCCTAAACTTGTTTACAAAGACCTGTTGCCATGATTTTACTGTTACTTACTATCCTGTAGACATGTGTAAGATTGTTGACTAACACACCGTTCGCTTTGCCATAAGACAGCCTTCTTGCATTAACTTCAGTATTGCTAATGAGGAGCATGAATACTGCTTGGCAGAAATGGTTTTAATCATTGCTTAGAAGCTTCTTTGATAAGTGCCTTTTAATTGTAATTTTAAATTTAATTTTTAATTAATCCTTAATTTTAAGTGAGGAAAAAAAGGAAAACATGATGATAATATGTGAATCATATCAGTATTAATGGAACGTATTATGAGAGTTGAATTACTAGAATGTGCTAAAACAGGAAAGTGCTAAAAAATATATATAATTTAATGGCGTCTACTGCAATATAAGAACACTCTTTCCTCCAAAGAAGAAAATAGAATTCAGTGTTCACATGATCCTGTAGATATTTTTAATATTGTTCATATATTCATGTTTCCACTATTGTGGGAGAACTGGATTGTGTATATTTCAACTGGATAGCCTTATGATAAAAAAATAATAATGAAGAGATACTGATGGTTGCTTGACTTTTAAAGCATTAAAAAATTTCAGTTAATCTATTACTCACCAGTACTCTGCTATTAACATGATTCAATATCCTCTACAATCTAAGCCAGGTAGTGTTGAAACAATTTAATATATTGATGGGGAGCATAATGTTATTTAAAGTAGTGCTGTATAATTGTGTTGCAAAGTTCCTGACAAGGTAAGTAGATTTTTGAGCTGTTCTTTAACCCTTTCTCTTTTTTCCACCAGGAAATCTTCTAAATTTATTTTAGAAGATGTCTGCCTTTGGCAAAGCCTGCACCCTGCACTTTTCTTGCCTAGCTCATTTCACAGAAATAACCACTTTCCAAATCCTTACACTGTGATTCCTTTTAACCAATCCTTCTTATAACTTACTTCCTTGGCTGGTTTATCTAGCTATTTGCCTACTGATACCCGAGTTGGCTTCCTGCTTTGTGGCTTTTGCTAGGAAGAAATTGAGTTTGAATTAATGGAAGGTCCCATCATCTTGAACTTTTTTCAGATATGACTTTCGAGGATGTTCGAGATTATGAGAAAAATATGCATGAAAAAACGAACATTAAAGTGTGCAATCAACATTCATCTCCTGTGGATGAAATAGAGAGCCATGCCAAAGGAAGTGTATGTAGTGCCTTTAAAAATATTGCCCACCATCTCCTAATGCAAACAAGGAACAGAACATGCTGTGCTTTAGGAGATTGCTATGGGAGGTCACTGCAAACGCCTGCCTCTTTTATGCCATTTTCCCTATCAAGTTCTGGAAGGATCAACACAAGGTTGAAAAGGGTTTTGCAAGCTAATATATTTTGGTGGGTTGGCTCAGAGTAGAAGCCTGAGAGATATATATACTGTATAAATATATATGCATTTCCGTGTATAATTTTTGCTTAAAAATTGAATTCTTCTTATTTTCTGAGCCGGCTGGACAAAGGCACTGATGTCTTGTTTTCCAGAACATTTCTTTTCTCTTTTGTCAAAAGAGTCTCTCATTGTCTCTCATTTTAACAATGGGATATTTTTTTAACAATAAAATAAAATTAAGGGGCTTTAAGATGTATGTGTTTGAAATAAAACAAAAAATTGGTGCTCTCTTGAACGAACTTTCTGCTAAGCTTAAAAAAAATAGACACGACAGAGTGAATGGCATTTGAGTTGCTGATTACATCTATCCTTGAATTATGAATCAAAAATAAACCCAAGGGATGATGCATTGCATGTCCGTACACATCTTTAGCTGCAGTGAGTTATCTCCAAGGAAAATGAAATTGTCAGGTTAGACTTAACTGAATGTACCATGTGGCAGTTTTGTCTCTGTTCTCTCTGCCTATTGATGGAACAATCCTTTCTGTGATCTATTAGATCAGATTCAGGCAATTAATATCCCAATGATACAGTTTTCTTTAGAAATAGATAATATCCTGGTTCAGATTGCTGAACTAGGACCAGGACTTCTTTAAATTTTGGTTTATTCAACAAGCTATAATGGTACAGTTTGTTGGCATATAATACTCAGGCATAATGGATGGGTTCATTCTTCATACCATGCCGAGAAATAATTAAGCAATAATACATAATGTTTTGTTATGTACAAATCAGGCTGCTATTTTATGCAAGTGGACACTATCACTTTCTCATTCCATTAAAATTACTGCATTTCACTCAAGTAGCAGTGATCAAATAGGAAAAGGAAATGGAAGTGGCACTTTTATCTCCAAGGAAAAAAAAGTATTAATTTGGGAAAAGTAAACTCTCCTTCAGTCAAGCTCAGCTCTGGATGACTTCATAGATAAGATTCTTGGCAACAGTACAGAAGCATTTTGCCATTGCCTTCTTCACAATTTTTTTTAAACCATCCATTATAGTTTCCTGGTTTTTCTTACACTCCCCCATCCAAAAACTAAGCAGGTTTAACCCCATTTAGTTTTTGGAAATCTAATAAGTGTAACTGCTGGTAGATGGTAAGGGCCAGCTGGATACTGGAATAGACAAAGAATAAATTGTTTAATGGCGATGGAAATTCTTGCAAAAAAAATTCCAAATTTTCATATTAAATAAGAATGCACCTTTTATGTTCCCTTTTTACATACAGGTAGTCCTCAACTTACAACCACAATTGAGCCCAAAATTTCAGTTGTTAAGTGAGACATTTGTTAAGTGAGTTTTGCCCCATTTTACGACCTTTCTTGCCACAGTTATTAAGTGAATTGCTGCAGCTGATAAGTTAGAAACCAGGTTGTTAAGTGAACTGGGCTTCCCCATTGACTTTGCTTGACAAAAGGTTGCAAACCTTAGGACACAGCAATGGTCATAAGTATGAGCCAATTGCTAAGCATTTTGGATCACCTGATCATGTTACTATGAAAAACAGTCATGTCACTTTTTTCACTGCCACTATTACTTTGAATGGTCACTAAATGAACGGTTGACAGTCAAGGACTACCTCTGTTAAGATCTCACATGGTCAAAAGTAAATAATCCTCAGATTAGGCTGTTATCAAAACTAGAAAAAAATGGAAAGGATAGCTCTTCCCCTGCTAGCCCTTGACATAGAGCGGGCGGGAGGAACAGGGACAAGAAATCTTAACATTCGTTTTGGCATAAATGTTCAATAAACGGGGCACTGGAAGTCTACATAGACACATGGTCAAAATTCAGATGCTTGGCACCTGATTCATATTCATATGGTTGCATTATTCAACTTTTGTGACCTTCTGACAAGCAAAGTCAATATGGAAACCAGATTCACTTAGCCACCATGTTATTGACTTAACAACTGTAGTGATTCACCTAACTGTGGCAAGAAAGCAAGGTCGTAAAATGGGGCAAAATTCATTTAACAAGTGTGTTGCTCAACAACAGAAATTTTGGGCTCAATTGTAGCTGCAAGTCGAGGAATAGCTGTAAATATCAAGAAATCTAGAAATAATAAAGCCAGTCTTATGGTACGTTTCCATTACCATGCTTCTCTCTTGCCTTTGTCATGACTCCAGCCATTAATCCAAGTTATTGAGGGGCCACATAATACTGATATCAGTAACCAACTGCTCCTTTTTAAGTTTTTCGCATGTCGTACTATTCATCTCCCAGCAGTGATGAGTGGTAATTTAAAACTTTACTAATTAGATTTTCCCCAAGTGTATGGTTTCAAAAAACTCTTAACAACCATTTGTTTGTCATTTGTGTTTGAACTTCTCTTAGTTACCTTCCTTAGGAATCCATGCTCACTGCAGGAAAGTTGAAACTCAAAGGAAGCTGGAATTTCTTGTGAATAAAGAAACTCTTCCCTAATATTCAAAACATTAACCTGGCTTAAAGTGCAGAACCCTCAAATGACCTTTTGCTGAACCCATCTTGAATCTTGACTTGTTAGAAGGAAAAAAAAACCAAGGAGATATTTACTCTATGGAATTTGTAATGTATGTTTAAAGAAAACACACATTACAACAAAGTAACTCTGCCCTCTGGTGGAATTATTCAAGATGTAATATTTTATGTATCTGAATAAAAATCCAAGATCTTTCAGTTAGGTGAAGACTCTGACCTGATCGTTATAGCATCCCCATGGTCACATGAACAAAATTCAGGAGCAGCGATTTGCTTAACTGTGGCAAAAAGTTGTAAAATTAGGCACAACTGCCTTGCTTAGGAACAAAAATGTGGGATTCAGTTGTGGTCATAAGTCAAGGACTACCATAATTCTGGAAATAAACAAATGTTGCTATCTTAAGTTTTTCGCTCATTGTGAAAAAAATAGTTTAGTTTTGCAGTCTCAGACTCTTCTTTCAGTTGTCAGCAACTCTTAACAGTGAGGTGAATGCTGTTCGGAGGTGGCTCCTGAGATTTCAGCAGTACTTCTGAACTAGTGGCCGTAGCTCCTCTTAAGTAGATACGCACACTGACAGGCATGACTCCTTAAAGACAAAATACCCCAATAAAGCTTTGCGCTGATGCCAATTTGCACAGTTGTCCTAACCCATTCTTTCTTTCCTTTTCCTTGAAGACATGACTATGGATGAAGTCCGAGAATTTGAACGAGCAACTCAGGAAGCCACCAACAAGAAAATTGGAACCTTCCCTCCGGCGATATCCATCTCGAATATCTCCCTTCCCTCTTCAATCCGCAGTACTCCTTCTAGTGCTCCGTCTACACCTCTGTCCTCAGACGCACCGGAATTCCTAACGGTTCCCAAAGATCGTCCGCGGAAAAAGTCTGCCCCAGAAACTCTCACGCTGCCAGATCCAGATAAAAATGCTCTCTAAACCCAGCATGGCTTTTTCTCCTTATGACAAGCTATGACTGACAGAATATCATTTGCAAATTTCATGGTAGTTGTTTTGGTTTAAACAAATATTGATCTGGAATCATGTGTCTCCCATCCCCCCATTCCCTTAGGCTTCCCCTGAAACTAGTTAGCTAAATGCATGCAAGGTCATAGTTCATGTGCTCTGATTCCCAAACTAAAGCTGTAAGCCATAATGACAAATGTTGCTATCAACCCAGAATTGAAGTAACTTGTTAAAAAAGAAAAAAGAAAAAGCAGTCTCTTGTAGTGATGGCTGCAAGCAGAAGATCTAAAATTGCAGTGTTGGTGACTGAAGGGGGTTACAGGGATTTCATGAAGCTGGCGAGGACATCCTGAGAGAATGAGGTTCTCCTTAGCTATATTTCTCATTTCAAGCCATTATATCTCCATTTCTGAAATCCTTTTTTACTCTCAGGCCGAATGCACCTTAAAGTAAACCTTGGAACTGCTGATTCACTGATCAACACTTGAATACTAATAGATTCAGATTCCTTTTTACAGAATACAACTCAGGATTTGGGTGTAGCTAATGCACACTTTAAGCTCTTCAGAAATTAAAGAACCAACGTGCTCTAGCTTTGTCTTAAATTATAATCATTTTGAGACCCTGGAACTATTTGTATCTTGCACAAAAAATTTGTAACTCCTTTTTATTCTGTGCTGTTGTGAAATTTTTCTGTGTTGGTTTTGGAGAACTGGGACCTATTTCAGGAAAAAAAAATGGAAACACAAACAAATAAAATAGGCTCCAAAGTCCAAATGGGACAAATATATCCCAAGAAACAATGTTATTATTAATTCATAATTCAATTCAGGTCTTCTGAGTTCCTATGAAATTAATGAAAGTCAAGATTGAAAACCCCATTAAAAAGTCAGCCCATTTTTTTGCAACATTGTAAGCAGTCATTCATCTATTCAACAACTTGAAGTTTTGCTGAGGGTATTCATGCTGGCCTGTTAAAAGCAGCAGATTGTAGCATAAAATATGTTAGGCTTACTGTGCAGATTCTTTCCCTCATTTAAAAATCCTGCATATGTATTTGAATGTGTGTGTGTGTGTGTACATGCATACATATATACAGGATTTTTAGAATGAAATCCACACACACACATACAAGATTTTTAGAATCTATAAATATATGAAATAGTGAATACATTGTAAGGCCGAGCCATGAATAAAATTAAGAAAGAAAACTTGGGGAGATCCTAATGAAAAAGTAGGTTTACCAGTAAGTCTAATATATATCATGCTCAAGAGAGAGAGATTCAATGCTTTGTCCAAAAGAGATACTTTTTTTCAACTATGCTCATTATTATTATTTCCTTTGAATGCAGGTAGTCCTTGACTTTCAACTGGCTGCTTAGCAATTGTTCAGACTTAGGACAGACCACCTCGGGGAACTTACAACCTGGCTCCAAAGTTCCAACAGCTATACCCCTCCCCTCCACCACTGTGGTCACAGGACTGCATTTCAGCCACTCAGCAACTGGCATGTATTTATGGCTGTTTGTAGCATTCTACATCCCATGACCACGTTTTATGACACTTTTTTGCCAAAAAGTGGCATTTGCTCCTGTTTTTTGGCAAAACCTACCCATAGGAAACAATTGGTTTGCTTAACAACCAACTGCAGAAAAGGTCATGAAATCAGGTCAGTCATGTGGGTGACCGCTGTACAATTGTCACAATTTACAACCATAATGGACAGCTCCATTACACTTGTAAGTCAAAGACTACCTGCGCCAGCACCTGAATTCAAAATGAAAAGGAAAACATGGTGCACTGCTACAGTTGACAACTCATTCAGAAGCCTCCGTCTAGTCCTTGTTTAAGAGCAGAACAGTTTATGTGGGAATCTTCTGACAGAAATAAAAACCTGCCAGCTTCCTGAGTTCCTTCAATTGTATTCTTTATCAACAATGAAAATAGAAGTGTTTTTCTTTTGGCTTTTGGTACCTCAGAAAGTGATTTTAGTTGCACCCAGCCATAGTTTGGAGAGACAAAATATTGGCCTGTTAATTCCATCACCCTTCAGTCTCAGGAATTAAAGATACTTCTCCGATGTAAAATTTAGGACACTTGGCATCTGTTCCTTTCCTTACAATTTATTCAGAATCTAATTTAGTAAATTAAGTCAGTAGTTAACCACATCTAAACTAGAATCATTTGTAAAAGTGTCATAAACATATAGCGATAGTACAAGGGGAATATAGAAATATATATCCAGACCTCAGGGGGATAAAGATAACTTTGAATAATTAAGAATTTCTAGTAAGCACGGCAGCATGAATTTTCATATGAAAAAGTGTAGCAGACTCAAATCTCCAATTAACTCTCAAGTGACTTCTTACTTAAATTGTACATACCAAGGGGACTATTGTTTATTTTTTAGTCATAGAAAGGTAGAGTGGAAGAACAGAATGCACTATGTGCATTTGAAAACTCAAAATATGTAGTAGCTTTAATTCTGTCTTTAATTCCCCTCATCATTTAGCTTCATGCCTTTTCTCAGTTATTACTCAAAATATCTTTTTCTGTCTTGCTCAGCATTCTGAAGTTCTGTGTGACACTTGTTAATACATGTTTTCATTATTATTATTATTATTATTATTACATTTCTATACATAAATACACCCTGAGTTTGTGGCTTTAAGTTAGCAGAAAATTATGATAATTTCTGTAATTTTAAGCCAAATGTTGCTCTCCCTTATCTGCTGTTAGAATCTTGCACAAATGGATAAGCCAAGACATCAAATTATTGTGTTGATTTATTTTAACTATTTCACTTCTTCCTCAATACTTTGGCTTGGGAATAAGATCAGGTGTTTTTCAGTTATATATATAGATATATTTTAAGAATATGCTTGTTAAAAGGCTGCATAGTACAAAAATGAAAGGTAATAGCATGCTATGGAAAAATAATGGACTTTTCTATGATACTTTCTGCTCTCAATGCTGCAGCAAGAATTATTTGTTCAACTTGATGTGCTATCCAAATTGGGTGCTTAATGAATTGACAAAATTTGATTCTTCTGCATGTCTAAATGATGGCTGACACAATCCATGTGTCAGTCTGCCTACTCTTTGCTTTTCCTATATTTCAAAGGAATTAGCAAAAATCAAATGGATGTTTCTTCAGCATATACACTCTCAAGCACCTATACTCTTCACCAATTATTTTACGCTCTTTTGTCACATTTTTTTTCCTTCCGTAGGTTTTGCAACTGAGGTAGTCAATTATCCAATTTACTTTTCTTTCTTGATTTTTGTCATCTGCTTTAAAAATGTATATTTCTGACACAGGAAGAATAACTAAATTAAATTTCTAGCATATTTTTGGTTGCACTAATGTGTCTTTTCCATGGGAAAAAAGTTTGGCTGAGTTGTATTGTTGACTTGTCTGTTTTATTTTGTACAGAATCTGCTGTATATTTTTAGCTGTATGTTTTTTGTGAGGATCAGACCTGTGGATGTTTATCTATTTATTTTGTGGAACAAAGTGGCACTTTCAATAAAGTCTGGTGCAGCAAAGCAGACTGAAGCCTGACTAGGCTTTTGTACCTTAGTCCTGTTCCCCCTTTTTTAAGTGAGATCATTTGATTATTGCTAAGAAGAGGAAGGAGGACTATGTTCTGAAATGAATACACTGCTGGCTTTAAATTAACCTTTCCTATAAAGAAGGGGGGGGGGTCCTGAAATTATCTGTTTAAAGACCCATCTTTGACTTCCTAAGCAAAGAAGAAAAGCTTTTTAAAAAGTTGATTCATGAGATTCTCATAAGGTTGCTCAAACTTTATTGTTGAAAACTCTGGCATATTTTTCATCGTGCTTTCCATGTACATAAATCTTTATAAATCCATGTACATGTGCTAGAAATCTTCATGGGGTTATATTTGCTAAGAAAGTTTGCAACGAAAGTTTTAAATTGCCATAAAATAAATTTGAGCCTAGCTGTTTTTCACATATCAGTGTACATACTGCAATTGATGTACATTTAGATCAATTGTTTCATATTAAATTAATAGAAACAGTCTAATCAATTTTCCGATAGCGATTTCACAAGGTTGTTGTTCTGGGGAAAATAGGAGAAGGAAGGAATATTAGGTATGTTTGCCCCCTTGAATTATTCATAAAATGTGGAATAATAAATAAATTGTCATTAAAGAGCCCAGCTGGAATGCTATTGTCTAGAATAGAAATGTTCTGGGCAATTTTTCCTAGTGCAGATTTCTGTTTCATTGGCAGTGTTTCATTTTTTTAATGAAACTTTTAAAAACTTTGTTAATAGAAATGAAAATGGCTGTGCTCTCTCTAATAGGAGATATGTGTGTCTTTAATCACTCATGGGGTTATATCCTGAGGTTCCTCTCTATGAGCAGAAAGAGACAAAACAGGCTGACCAAACATATCAGTTAGCCTTCCGTGCTTAGCTGAGGGCCTATATTCAAGCAAAATTCCTCTCATGCAACTTTGGATTGAGATTCATTTGCTGCACTGGAACTTTAAAACATGGCTGTTGTTTAAAAGACATCCAATGTATGCACTTCCTGGTGGTGAAATCATAAGATGGGAAGGGTTCATGAACTTGCCATTAGGAACTCATTAATTACCATCCTTCAGTTTTCATAAAGGCTTGAAGCTAAACTAATCATGGGGAAGGGTTTTCTTGTTTGGACGGCATCGTCTTAAAATTACAATTGTCTATGATTTTTTTTAACGTTCCTTCTAGAAATAAGTTTTTTTGTTTTATTTCTGTGACAACCTTTGTAACTTTGAATGTTGTGTATAGTAATGAGATTTTCTGAGGTTTTTGTTTGTTTGTTAGTTGGTTTTTGGTTGTAAGGTTAGTGTAATGAAGGAAGGACCAAATGATCCAAGTTACACATACAAGACATGAAAAGAAGAATCAGAGTCTCATGGTTTCCATACGTACATAATTGTTGCTTTTTCAGTTATTTATTATTGTTTGTAAAACTGCCTTTTCTTACATTCTGTTGTAAATAAACTACAAGCAATCTTCTTTCCAAGACTGCCTTGCTTCATTTCTGAATTTATGCAATGACCAAATGCTCACCTTGCTATATTAAAGGCTTTACCTCTTCAGCTCTAATCCATGGTGTCAAAATATCTAGGATAGAACCAAATGAACCAACATTAGAATATTCTCTGGTGGGAAAAGGGTGAATATTTGGATGATGGATAAGAAGATAGTAGAGTTTCCAGTAGAAGGCATGGTGGACATTTGATGCCAAACCAATGAATTGTTTTTGAATACCCCAAAAGACCAACAAACACACAAACTTTCTTCAAGTGTTTACTGGAATGAGTGCCATATCAATTATAAATAAATAGCTTCATCAGATGTATGACAAAATGAATTTGTATTAGTTCAGATCAGTTTTTAAGGTACAATAAGATGCTTTGCTTGTGTAAATAAAAGATTCACATAATGGAAGAGTTGGAGTAGGCCTAGAGCGAGCCAGGCTGAAGTTCATTCTCAACCATGGAAGCTTCTTGAGAGAATTTGGTCAGTCACTCTTAACCCAATCTATTCATAGCATTGTTGGTTGTGGAGAAAATATGGGGAGGGAAATGCCATGTATGACTGACTGACTTTCTTTCTTTCTCTTTCTTTCTTATAAATTATTTTTGAAAAATATAACATCCGTACATTTGTAAAATAAAATAAAGTAATTCCCATGTCATTATGATTATATAATAGATAGCAGGTGCCAAAAAGTTACCACATTCTGAATTAAGATCTAGGCAATTGGGAGCCTTCCTATAAAGCTTTGTATGTATAATTAATGGGATTCAGAGAGGAAGGCGTGGGGTTAATTCTACAGTCAGTTAAGGCTAAAGTCATAAAGGATGACTTTGTAGGATGACTTGATTCAGTTTCGTTCGTAATGTAAATCAGATGACTGAGAATGATAATTTTAGATATGTTGAGTGTCCTGTATAAGCAATGGTTTTATGCTAAGTAAGACCTTTGATCCCGCTGTTATTGAGTAGTCCAGAAATAAGGACCTTTTCACTGCAAGCTTTTTAGTGTATTTTTAATTTAAAATGAAAAGGCCTGAACTTGGAATTTTCTGCATAGAAGGAATGTGCTGGGTCACTACACCTGCTGTTTATGTCAGGAAATTCTTTTTTGTGGTTTATAATTTACAGCTTCTTCCTTCCAGCTTCTTTTTTCTTTTTGCAAAAAAAAATACACTGTTTACATAAAGGTTTGTGCTACCCTGCTCAAGCTGACTGAAGCTGATGATATGAAGGCCATTTATTATTATCATCAATGTCTATGTAGTTTTGCTACTGCAGCAATGTTCATAAATTACTTTGGGACCATCGTTCATAGTAATTAAAACTACAGTTGATTAAAAAACAAAACAGTTTTAAAAAATAGCTAGTCAATTTAAAATAGCAGTAACAGGCAGCAGCAATATGGAAGGGGTCCAGAGGAAACCACTCATCAAAATCTAGCAAGATTGTCATTTAAAAACAACAACACTTTTTACAGTTAAAAAAATAAAGGCGCCATCCAGACTTCTGCATGTCATAAGCAAGGAGGTCCTGTTCCAAGTACTACAACTTTATATCTAGAACCTTCAGAAATAATGGAGCTTCATCCAAAACAGCCTGGATGATCTATTTCTACATCATTGTTCCTGTTGTTGAAATACACTTCTGTTTAAACGCAAAACTACGGTAGTATGATAAAACTAGACATTTACTTCCCTGTTTCAAATAAAGAAGACTGTAACTTTTACATTAAAAGTTGATTCTATATGACAGGGACTGCATTCTCTCCTCTGTCCTCATTTCCTTTGTGTCATCTGTTCAGACTTTTTTGATCCATCTAAGTTCAAATAACAAAAATCAACAAATGGAAACAAAAGATGCTGAGATAAATTGGAAAATAATCCACAGAAGAGTGCTGAAGATGTTTCATATTATCTGTAAGGCAGATTATTTCTGAAATGTGTAGATTTGTTTGAAACCAAAGGAAGTTTAAGTGCCAACTAAAATCAGCAATGGTGGATGTACATTCTGATAAATTATATAATATAGCAATAGCACCTAGACTTATATACTCACTTCACAGTGCTTTACAGCCCTCTCTACTCAGTTTACAGAATCAGCATATTGCCCCTAATAATCTGAGTCCTCATTTTACTGACTTTGGAAGGCTGAGTCAAACTTGAGCTGGTCAGAATCGAACTGCTGAACTGCTGACAGTCGGCAATCAGCAAAATTAGCCTGCAATCTTGCATTCTAACCAATGCGACACCATGGCTCCCAATATAAATGTATATGTTGATAAAGAGGGCAACAATTATGGATATTTTCATTTATAAGAGCACTCTTATAAAAGCTAGAATACTCATTTGAGATACCGTGAAGCAGAACTGATCAACCTTTGGGTTGACGGCCCGGGGGAGAGAAAGGGAAAAGAGGAGGTTTTGTGGGAGGGGTAGGTGCATGTGTGTGCATTAACACCCGTTGCTTGTGTGAGCGTCATGGGCGCTTGCAGCCCCACTTGCGTGAGCATCACAGGCACTTGATGGCCACAAGTGCCTGTGATGCTCACGCAAGTGGAGCTGCAAGCACCCATGACGCTCCTGCGAGTGGGGCCATGAGCCCCTACAATGCTGGCACACACCAGCCAGCCACTCATGGCTCGGTTGCAAATAGGCCACGGCCCGGTAGTGGGCCGTGGTCCACCGGTTGGGGGTTCCTGCCTTAAAGCAAGAATTTTGAACAAATTAATTACAGTAGTGGACCTGCTTTATACACCATAACAGCAGCTGCCAAAGTTGCAATCCAATCTTCAGCCAAACTGTGCATTATATCTGAAAGAAAAAAGTGCACTCCTTCCCTGAAAAATTATAGTAACAATTTTATTTTTAATATCCAAACACTTCATGATATTAATACAAGTCTGTACTGATTCTAAATAAAATAAGGAGTTTGTAATATTTTTTAATTTCTTACAACCAGATTTATCTCGTAAAGAGGCAGTAAGTTTCATCTGAAAATAATTCAGAAGTATGGTTTTGTGTGGGCTGATCTTTTCTGAAGATTTTAATCAAATGTTGTAGAACTCATCCACAGTACACAAATGAAACCTCTTTGGCATGACTAACCATCCATATGGCAGTTTGAACAACTGCTAGAAAAGTCTTATTAATTCACATGGGGGCACATAATAGATCCCATCTCTATTTCTAAGACCGTAGTCTTACCCCAACTTGTTAATACACAAAGGCAATGCCATCATATGGAAATCTAAGGCAGTCACCTTGGGTATTAACGGGGATTAACGGAAAGACAAAAAAAGTCACTTATTTCTCTCTAAGCCCTTCTATATTACCAAGCTGAAGTGCTGTGAATTCTTCTTTGGGTGGCAAAAGGCTAAGCCTAAAGATATTTGTTCTCCCTACTGCTGATCCCTATCCTGCCGCTGTTTCATTTGCTCCCAGTCAATGCTAGTCACTGGGCTTCCTACACAACTTGAGGCCGTGATAGAATAAAGTGGGAAAAAATACTTTTACTAATAGTACCTGTGAGGATTACTTAAGATCATCTTATTCATTGGCTGAGGATACAAGGAAGAGATCATGGGGATGAAGGGGAAAACATGTTTGCGAAGCATGATAGTGCAGTTGGGACATTGCTGAGATAAAAACCATTTTCACTTAGTCTATTTTATTTAGTGCATGGCATATCCATGGACTTTTAGTGGTTCAAATGTTAATATCCATTCAAGGACAGGGGGGGTCTATGTTGAAAAAATCAGACATTGGGCTGGTGTAAGCTCTTGATGGACATTCGGATACAATGTGATGGATATTTCAGTTAGTAATATAATACTAATAGTGCTTAAGGCACCCGGCTAGAGAGCAGGAGTCTGTGAATTCTAGCCCCACCTTAGTCATGAAAACCAGCTGGGTGAAAACCTAGACCAGTTACTCTCTCTCTCAGCCCAACTCACCTCACATGATTATAGCTGGGAGGGAAATAGAAGGAGCAGGAGTATTAGGCATGTTAGCTGCCTTGAGTTATTTATAAAAATAATAAAGACAAGATATAAATAAATAAAATAAATAAAAACGCGCATATTGTCTAACATGAAAATATTTCCTTCACTACTACTTCATCCTGACTTCAGACTAAGAGCTCTTGAAATATGCTCTTCCTTTCATGACATTTTGAAAATGATTAACTTCTTTATTTTTCTTGTTCAGCCTCTCTGTTACTATTGCTGCCAAATGATCTGCACAACAATATTCAGCCTTGACAATGAATAACAATAATCCATGAAATAGCATTATTAAAAAATAACCCTAGCAGGCAAAAACAGTCTGCATTAATTACCTAAACCTGGGTTCAATTGCAAGGCTCAGCAAGTATTGTATGTAACATACAATGTAATAATGTTGAACCTTTGCACACATCTAAGTGGGAATTTCTCTTCCTGTCAAGGAAGTATAACTATATTACTGTTGCCCTTCAATTAGGAAGAATACCAAAGTCCAAAGGATGCTATTCTTGAATCTTCTAATAATCTGGAGTCCGGAAAGACAGTGTGTATGTACCCCAAACATCTAAAATAACTACTGTATATTAACGGCTGAAATCTTACATATTTGTTTGCAACCTGGGGAAATAAAACCAGGAACAATGGAATAGTAGCTGGAGCCTCTACTGTTTGGGGCACTTTCACACACAGGAGGATTCTGTGCCAGTTCAAAAGCAGCTTAAGAGACAAGCCCATTTATTTTTGGCTTTCAGATATACGATGTATCTGAAAGGGCATTAAACAAACATTTTAAACAAACAGGTGTCTCTATGGAGTTTACACACTATCAGTTTCCCTGCTTATAGGAAATAATGCTTTCAAGTCTGGAGCTTTCAAGGATAAAAATGGTTTGATATGTTTGCAATTCCTCTCCATAGAAACTACTGTAATTTTTTTTGCATACAATCAAGCAAACACACACAGTTGAAATAAAGTCGGAGA